CAATTACAAGCAAAGTATAATTATAATTTTGAAGTGTAATTGATATATAAGTACATTATTACATTACATTTGCTATTATTAATTACATTTGTTGTGACTTTTTTGTGATGTATTTTACAGTTTGTCCAACCATTTGGAGAGCTGGTGAACCTGTTGCTCTTGTTAAGTAAGAGCTTATAAAGAAGTATAAGTATGTACCTCACATCAGCTATATTGTTCTCTGTCCATTTGGACCATATACTATAACCTTTAAAGATAGTAACAGGCTTAGTATATGTTCTATCTGTACAAATAGTAATAATAGTAGTAATGTTTTCTCAGTTTCCACCTCTACTTTTATACTGAATCTTCTTCCCTCTAGCTCTAATAACTTGTTTAACAGTATTATTAGTAGGTGAGAAACCAGTTTTGTCTATAGTATATATTTGCCTAGGTAAGACTTCCTTCTTAACTACTTCCTCCTCTAGAATGTCAAACCATTTACTAACAGTTGTTAGATTTAGGCCATTTACTCATTGTGTATCAAGACAAGAACTCTAGTAAGTTTTTAGCTTAGTATGATAATACTCTAAGAATCTCTAAACAAATGTAGGTCCTACAAGCTTGTAACTTATACTATATTGTGTCTTAAGGAGTTGATTAGCTGCCCTTTCAATGTTATTATGACTGAATAGGCAGCTTTGATTAGAAGAGATTCAAATAAGTTCTGTAAGTGCCTGATTGTCCTCCTTCATTAAATGGCATTTTGAAGTATTAAACTCTAGGATAGACTTTATTCCAGCTACCCTATTCCTTAATGTTCTAACTGTAACCCCTTTAAACATACTAGCCACTCTTCTTAGTCTTAGACACTCTCTCTAGGGCTTTTTTTGGTCCAACTGATAAGTATTAACTGCTTGACCCATATTCCTCTCCCTTTCCTCCAATTCCTCCCTTTTTTTTTAGAGATTTAGACTTAGTATACTTAACTATAGTGTACTAAACAGAATAGAGAGTAAATAAGTAGAAAAAAAGAGTAAAAAAACACTAATTTATTAGTAAGAGTATGGCAAATACTCTAACACAATTCTTACACAAAGGTTTGGCAAATTACATTATTGTGTTAATCATTTCTCTCTCTGTCACACTTTCTTGACTTTTCTTAATGTTTACTTTTAATAAATTGTACAACTCAGTGTATTAAAATAAAAACTGTAGAATTGTATATTTTGGATACTAATAATCATATATGCAAAGTTTCAACTTGATTGGATTAATAGAAATATTACCAGAAAATTTGCAAAGTTTACTACAGGACAATTTTACTAAATTCTTTAACTGTCTGATTTTTCTTAATTTTATTTCTTGCTCAATTTCTCTCAAATCTTATATATACATTTGAGTCATATAGTAATACCTTGTATTAAATTTTCATAAAATAATATTAAGATTTGAGTAAGATATTACAGTCTGTTTAAAGGAACAGTTGTGTTTAAAGGAGTAGTTTTTAACTATAGAGTTTGACTCTAAGGGTTACTATTTCTAGCTTAACCTTGACAGTCTTTTAGAGGTAGGGAGAGATATCCTAATATAGAGTCCTGGCCCTAGTATTCCAAGCAACCAAGAAATTCACTCCCTCCCTTTTAGGAAGCTTATTCTTAGCCTAATACTTTTGCTTACAGACAACCCTACATCAGGATCAAACCCCTGACTGCTCTAAGCTTGACATTATGTAAGGGATTACCATATATAGTAGACTATACATAGAACCTCTTCACTAAAAGGGTGTAATGTCAAGCTTAGCTTGACACCTGGTCTACACTATATATACTGATAAATGTTTGTGTCCTAACATTCACCTTGTTACACTTATGTATAATACAGAATAGTAAAACTTATAGTATTATGTTATTATTTATTGTAGGTATAAATACTTACTAGAAGTACAAGTGTGAAAAAAAAAAACAGATTAACACAATAAATCTGAAAAATAGCTTATTTTATTTAGAATAGGTGAGAATTAGTAGCATTTATTAACTACTCCATTTTAGCTATCAAATAGATCTTTCTAACACTCTGACCCAGAGAATTAAGGGCAGTTATTAGTATAATAAGTGTATAGTAGAGAATACTTACCTAATGTACAAAGTTCATTACACATTTAACACTACAAGCCATTAGTTTTGTTGTTTGTATTAGGACAGAGTGTTCAGAACAAAGCTACATTCTGTTTATATTGAACAAGACACTGTAGAAAATTGTGCAAATTAAAGACTGAGACATTATACTGTATACACATATATACTTGATCACCTTAATAATCAGTTATACTCATAGTCATTTTATTTTAGTAATGTAGTTATTGGATTTTTTCTATTACATTCTACTTTATATCTAAACAACAAGCATTTGTAGCCTTTTCTATTTAGTAAGTTATTGCCCAAACTTCTTCATTGTTGTTATTAATCCCTTAAGTCCATCTGTGTCTTTGTTTTGGATATATTTTGTCTCTTGTTCCTTGACTGTTGTTATGACCCTGTCATAGGATTGAAGTTCAGCTTTCCAATTATTACAATTATTCTTCAATGCTTCAATGTGTTTCTTACTTTCTGATATTGCTGCTTCAACGTGGTCAAGTACTAGGTTCACAATATTAAGCATACGTTGTTCTACTTCAGCATGGAGACTATAGCCTTCAACAGTGTCTCTGTATTCCATCACATTTTCTTGTATGTCATTTAACCCCGTTCTCCATTCTGTCTGTTTTCCAAGGAACTCAATTAACGCATTTGATATCCTTTCCGTTCTTTCTCTTGCTTTTGTAAGTGTCAGTACTTCCTTTTCATACTTTCTCTGTACTCTTTCGAAGTCGGATTCTGAGTGGTTGTGTCCTGTACTTGTAGTGTGCTTGCGACTCATGGTGACCTGATATATGAGCTCGTTCGGACGTGTGGTATGTGAAAGTTGAAAATAAGAGGGAATCTAGACCCACTCAGTGGCTCTCTTATACATTGAATCCAGATCTGCACATCAAAAAGATCCTCACAAAGCATATCATCGGTGCAAAGGGAGAGACCTTGCCTGACAACGATGTAGTAATTTGCACACAGAAATTATTTCTTTATGGGCTTCTTTTGTGCTGTACACAAACGTGTGTATAGCATATCCTTGCAGCAAACGTACAGGTTATCTTTATGCGTGGTTACACAGATCAGAATGATCGGATATATAGTACGTAAGGGCAGCATTGTAGAATAAATGCAATTCAAGGTTGCCAGGTATTCGGGCGCTCCAGAAGCTCGGGCTGTGTGTTCGACAGCACAGTGAGTCAGTGCTCAGCAGTAAAAGTAGCTGCACGTGAGCTGAACGATCGACATGACGAAACTCGGAAGTATGAACGAAAAATAGCTAGTCACGTCTTCCGATCCATATCGCCATCCATCATGTCCACCAACCCCAGCTCTAGCACTCCCATAAGAAAGGCAACCGGTGCCGACTTCTCCCTTACCGCCCCTACTCCGCAAAATACCCCGCTCTCGCAAGCACCCATCTCCTCAGGGCTAGGCCTCACCCGTCCAGGAGTCGATGACATCCTCGAGGAGTACGAAGCAGAGGAGAAGGAAAACGCAAAGGAACTTGCCAAAGTACTGCAAAGTACTGCTGCACGTTCGGCACTTACGAGCATCGTGCAGCAAAGGTTAGCGAAACTAGTTGGACAGAGTTCTGGCTATGTGGAGGGCCTCCCTATACCAGTCAAGAGGAGCCTTGTCGCGTTACATGCTGTACAAGCGAAACAAGTTGACTTGCAGAAGGACTTCAAAAAGGAGGTTTGGGAATTAGAAAAGAAGGTAGGCAACCATTATATGCCTGTTTCTACTCTAGAGACTAATTGCAGAGCGTTTGTGGATATGCAGTATCTTGAACGGACAAAGCCACTTTATGACAGACGCGCAGCCATTGTCTCCGGATCATCAGCTCCAACAGTTGAAGAAATCGAAGCGGGTGAAGCGGAAGCAATTAAGGACGACGAGGACCATGAGCGTCTGCCGAAGTTAGAGCCAGGCACGAATCCGGAGAAAGCACCTATACCAGACTTCTGGCTTAATGTTCTCCGCAATCACTCCGGCGTCGAGGTACTTCTTTCTAGTCGGGATCAGGATGCATTGAAGCACTTGAAAGACGTGCAATTGTCATATCTCACTTCCCCTATCAAGCAAGAAGAAGGTGAAACAGAACAGAACAAGGAGCAGACCCAGCTAGGATTCAAGCTTTTGTTCTTTTTCTCGCCGAACGATTATTTCGAGAACGAAGTGCTGGAAAAGACGTATCTCTACAAGACTGAAATCGACTGGGCGGGAGACTTCCAATATGATCATGCGATTGGGACTACGATACGGTGGAAGAGTGAAGACAAGGATTTAACGAAGGACATTCAGACAAAGACACAGAGGTCCAAGAGTACGTATTCCTCTGGCCTATCTTTTCTGTCCAGTTGATATGCCGAAGGTATCGATTAAACTGACCCTTGTCCTTGACAGAAACCAACCGTACGCGCACAGTGAAACGTGCAGTAGACGTCGAGTCGTTCTTCAAATTCTTCGGTCCGCCTCAACCCCCCTCTGATGAAGACGTAGAGAATGGCGGACTCGACGAAGATGACTTGAGTGAACGGGAGGCAGAACTTATGATCGACTTCCAATTGGGTGATGACTTTAGAGATAGGGTAAGTCTCTCTTTGACTCTTTTAATTATTTCGTTCTGTTATATGCCTTTGTCTTTTTGACTATCTCCTTCCACTTTGTTTATCGGATTTTAATAATGGCGGTATACTGAGTCTAAATTAATTTCTTCACAGATTATCCCACATGCAGTGGACTACTACACGGGCAAAGCCCTAGAATGGGACGACGAAGGCTCCGACTGGGAAGACGACGACGCCGATCTTGATTCTGACATTGACGAAGAGGAGGATGAAGAAGAAACTGATGAAGAGTAACGCTGTATTGGTCCATGGGTGGCATGCTGATCTGGATGCTAACGCAAATATTAAATTTACGATAAGAGTAAAAGGTTCCTGTGTACGATACAGCTAGCTTGTTATTTTTCTCGGGAATACCTTTTTACGAGAAGATATTTTGTATTTTCCGTCGATATGCCCCATACCTCTTAATACCTGATTTGAGATCGATAATTTACTTATAGCATACACGAGCATTTTTATCCCATACAGCGAGACCCTCGTCAAAGTTACACGAAGGGGCGGGTCATCGGAAATATGAACCAACGAGACATACAACGGCTACATTCTGTTTCACATCTTGGCTATCATACAAGTACAGTAGTACTAAACTTATACACGCAAAGCACGAGGGACAAGACAGGACGAGAAGAGAAATGAGACAAGATAAGCAACATGAGGCTAGATGAGTCGGTATAAACAAGAAATAACAAATGGAGAGATAAGGGACCCTTTACGACGTTCTTGTTCAGCGGGAAAGGGGCAGAGCAGGTCAAGGTGAGGGTGGGTCAAGCGTGACGTTTTGTGCCGTTCCGACAGGTTATGAAGGTCGGATTCAGGGCAGAAGGTCAGTAGAACGAAAAAAATAAACGAAACGGTGAAGATAGATCACAAGAACGTCAAAATAAGGGAAAATGACCCTAAGAAAATCTCAGCTAGTCCACAAACCAACTTCCGATCCCAATTTAATCCGTTAATGGATAGCCATGGACTACGGCGAAGCAACAATGCCCGTCATTGCGCTTGCACTGGCACTCGTCCCACCATCCCCATTTGACGAAACAGGCGTTGCAGCGCTCATCCCAAGATCACCACTAAACAGCGTAGCCATGTCAAATGAGCCATCATTGAGAAGAGTTATCAGTGCTGAGCTGGACATATCCATCCCACCCATCTCGCCCATCCCGGTTATGCCATCCATGCCCATGTTACTCCCCAGATTGACATTGGTTATACCATCCATGGGACTCATGGTTCCAAGTCCATCCATGCTATCCATGACAGTGCCGGGTATACTTGTAATGCCGTTCATCGGACTGAGTCCGTTGGGTTTGAGCCCCACGTTCGGTGTGAAGCCCAACGCACCCTCGCCCCTCAAATCTGCCAGCAAGTTCTCGTTATGGCTGTTCGACCCTGCGCGGCCGAATGACGCTGTTGCTGACACAGAAGATGATCCCGTAAGACGTTGATACGATGGCCCCGAAGTATCCTGTGTACCTGGAGGACTAACAGCAGATGCAGACGCTGGGCTTGTCGTTTCGGCGGCTGGACTCCCATGCCTCGAAGTATCTGATTCGCCTGACATCCCACCTTTCTCGGTTGTGGAGCGAGTCTTCTTGCGGACGGGTCGGATCCAAGGTGGCCGGGATTGTATAAGTTGGGATTGGGACGGAAGAGGTTGTTGAGGCGCGTCCAATGGGATGCGCGTTACTATAGTCGATTTTTTTTAGTTACTTAAGTGCAACAGGCACGTATAAAGACTTACATCGGCAGAACTCTTCGATTAACTCGCCACTCCTTAATCCACAGACATATCGCCCACTAAATCGTCTGAGTAAACCGACGCAAGCACGCAGAGCCTCGAGTGAAGCAGGAACGAGAGGCTGCAGATCCGCCGTCGTGCAGTTCAACAATACGGCAATAAGTGATCGTCCGGCTTGCGTTAGTTGGTGGATAACGTGTACGCCGTCTGCAAGGAACCAAAATGAATATCACTAATCCAGAAAAAAATTGAAATCTTACAGTAAGTCATCAATCCCTTCTTCGCAATTTGTGTATGCGCATGAACAAGCTCAACTGCACAAGTATGACAACTCATCATTGCCGCACGCTCTGCCTCCGTTTGTTCACCTTCTGAATCACCACTACCATTTTCGCTTGTCTCGTTTGCTATTCTTATCCTCTCACCCACTCGCCAACTGAATCGCGAGCGGGTGATTAACATGCGCACAAAGAGCATAAGGCAATGCAATCGCTCGGCTTGCGTAACACGCAGGACGTCTGCACTACCCATCGTCTCAGTTGTATGCGCCCAGAACGGAGGTAGATTATGCAAGACATCGTCTAAAAGCTGCTCCTCCACTTCGCATTCTCGTCGCGCCGCTCTTGGGTTCTGCAAAAGCATGGAGGCGCGCTGGAGGAAAGGAGAGGATGATGGCTGGGGAGGAGATGGTGCATCAAGCACTGCTTCAAGTACAACGGAAACACGCAGACATGCAATGAAGGCGCCTAAGCGGGACTCTGTTCCCTCGGGCTGGGGTCCGACAGAATCAGCCGTAATATACTCGTCATCAACGGCGGCTGGTTCTCGAGCGTCGCAATCTTTTAACCTCAGTACTGGCGGTCTGCCGAACGCTGCTCCCGCCTGTTTATCCCACAAATAGACACACCAAAACGTCCTTCGACGGACTTGCTCTTCAATTGGACCAAAGCAGTCGTACGCCTCGCTGCTTCGATGTAGCCCTGCATCAATAGACAGTGTACACGCTTCGGCGAGTAAAGCAAATCCGCGAGAAAGACGTCCGAGACCGATTGCATAGACAGCAGCGACAAAAACACTTTGTACAGTGTATAATGTCGGGCGATCCGCTGTAGGCACAGTACGCAATTTTGTGAATAGGTCAAACCAGTGCGCGCCCGCACTGAACCCATCCACAGGATCTGCACGAACACGCGGATCATCGATATGACGCGAGCTCAGGCAGCATATAGCGACGATAAAGCTTGCAAAGCCTGGTTCACCCCATTTTGCTGGATTTCCGTAGTCGGCAAGGAAAGTTGGGACATGCAAGAAAGGCATAAGGTAGTATGACGTGCTCAAGAAGCATTGAACGAGATTATCCATGAGTTCCGGCACGATCATACTTGTAATCAGTCTCCACATCGTTTCGGGGTTTGCTGTACTACTCTGGCGCGGTTGTCGGTCAGGAAACCAATCTCCGGTAGTAACATTTTCGCTTTTTCGGGACCAAGACTCACTTGCTGGACTTGCGGCCGCGTCCGAATGAGCGCCGGATGACAATGGTAATTTGCGCTCTACAAGAAAGTCAAGTAATGGTAGTCCAGATGACTCTCCCTGCCAGCGCGTATAGCCTTCGTCATCGAGGTAAAGATATCCAGGTGGCATAGCTGGATCTATATTTGAGTTCAGCGCCTTCGGTATTGCACCGCCAGACGTGGTAGGTTCTTGAGGAATAGGCACATTTGTGAGATTGGAGTTAGAAGTGGGAAAATGTGTTGATGGGTTCATGAGTGGAAAAAGTGAAAGCGATGGAGGAGGCACGCCAAGAGGGTACGCATGATTTGCACTTGCGAGACTTGCATGAGGGCTTGACGGATCCATAGAAGCGGGAAGTTGCGCATTTGGTAAGCCAGCTCCAGCAGCAGCCTGTGCACTAAACAAGCTGAACGGGATTGACTGGATGAGTGATTCAAGGTGGTGCATGCGATCCTCAAGTGTCGCTGCGCGTCTTTAGACCAATTTCAATTAGCATTTAATCATCGGCTAGATCATGCATACATAACGAACTTTGATTTGGGATGGGTGCGTTTGCCAGGTTCTTCGAAGGTACATGCTGATCTGGCGGCAATGCAAGACTGACATGGGTGGCCTTCGTCGCACTTAATTCTCCGTCGACTAGACCGACCCAAAAAGTCTCTCGATAAGTAATAGAACCACCTCTACACGAGATAGACTGCTTACCGACAACGATCACACGCTCTACATGTCGCAACGTAAGCATATGAAACAAGAGGTATACCATGAGAATAAAAGAGTGCAGATACGTACCTGCTCAGCTTGAAGCGCCTCTCCTTCGGAGGGGCGGCCGCGGGCTTTGGCTCCTCGCCATCCTCGGGCAGGGCGGGTGCAGGAGTGGTGGAGGCCCGATCGGAACCGCTGGTCATCCTGTGTATAGACGGCTTGATGTCCTCGCTCTGGAATCCGGTGTACCGCAGATGCGAATACGAGTAGTATACGCTGTGACCGTCGTCGTAGACGTCCCTTGCTGGCGGCGCGGGCGCAAGGAGCGGGAGGGAATGGGCGTACGAGGACGAGGAGGACGAGGAGGGGCGAGCAGCGCGAGATGGGATGCGGTACGGAGACGGAGCTGCTGACTGTCGGTGGGGCACGTGTCTGTCGGGGAATGCCGGAATATTTGAGGTTCGCCGTGTCCTGCCATTGGCCTCTCTCTCTCCTCCTCCATCCAATCCAATATCGACCGACGCGTGCAAATGCGTTGAAGGCGCTTCAGGCGGACACGGGCGGTATTCGTCGCGCTCCCGTCGCGGCAGCCAGAACATATTGCAGTGCTAGTGCCCTTTCTTCTCTCATTCAGCTTCCACCGGTTATCCTGCTGCTTTATGTCCCTTTCTCCGTCTCTCCGAAGCCGGTCCTCTTGTCATCTTGCCACAAATGCTACTCTCTTCTAATTTTGCACTCCTAAACACAATCTCTTGAGATCTCGCGTCACTTTCGCCCTTGAAGACCTTCTTCCAGCTTCCATGACCCTGTAGCACTCCCAGGTTACAGGCACAAGAATGTGCTTCGCATATTGTTGCGGGAGGCTTACCCGCACGCCCGCGCGCACGGGACCACTTTTCGTTCCCTACTACTGCCTCTTCTGGCTATTAGACTCTCGCACACTCGAAGCTCGGCACCACTCGTCTGTTCAGTCATCAACGCTCGTGCCGGCCCCGAAGCTCGAGTCGCTTGCTACGAGGAGCCAAATTCTGTCACTATGAATACTTCCCTTGAAGCTTACTGGCGTTTCAAGCATCGAATTTTCCCAGTCATGTATTTTCTTTTCGCTAAACCTAGGCCCTCTCATTGCCCTTTGCCGCCCCTCTCTCAAGTTTGTCGAATATTTGGCGCCTTTACCTCTTCATATTCGATTGGAAAGTCAAGCCACAGCTTTCCATTCCAAGTTTTCCCAAACATTCAAATGAGAATCAATGTGAAGTATATTCCGCCGGTCTCTTCTACAGTCAGCAAGTGGTGACGCCACCTCAACCGTCTCTACCGTATCGAGAAACTGAACTCTCGCGAGCACCGTGTTACCATACCTCCTGCTTTCTCGACCCGACGATCCCGACCCTACGAGAATCAGTCGGTCCGTACATTCACAGCCTTATCCCCTTACGGAGCCGCCAATTATCTCATTGCCATTTAGGAATGACCCATCCGTGTGTATTTCTCGTGTATAGAACGCCACCATCTTCTTACACAGAAGGCCGATGCACACCGTCTGTCCACTAAAAATCCAAATAATTCGACTAAAAGACCCTCATCGTGGTTCTACATACCTTCAACCCCCTATAAATCTCTTATTGGTAATTCGGAAGTCCCGGATCCAGGTGCAAATTGGGACGACCATGATCGCTCTCGCTCCACGTCAAGAATGGATCAGAATCATGCTAAAACCCCGTGCAAGGTTTTTTCAGGCATCAAGTGGTAAAGTGGCTTGGGAGATATCCAGGCACCATAGATGCATACAACCTTTGGAGCTCAGCGTTTGCTAATGCTTGCCGATGACAAGACATGTGTATTCCTTGCTTCTGCAAGACTATGGATTGGAGGCTCAGAAACACCACAAGCACATGGAGTCAAGGCACCAGCTAAGATCATCCTGTAGATCGCCCAACCCTATGGCACGTCAACTTATTCCGATTTTAACGACCTAACTACTGGCTTGTATCAGACCAATCTGCTGTACGACGATACGGGTCAAGGTTCACAATATCGCCAGGCACTGTCGTCTCGAGTATTAAATGTAATCCTCGGACTTCCAGAACGGTAACAACAATTATCCGACTTCGTACTTCTGACACTCTCAAAGAAACACCGGGCCTGAAAGAGGAGACCGCAGACGTAAGTGAGGAGTTCTACTCAGTATTTGAATACAAATTGAATGTATAGCTACTCGGGAGATCATTTTGCAATGCTATGCATATGCTATTCAGTGAAGCCTATCAGCATACTGTTGAAGCGAGAAATGTTGAATTCCGTTGTAAATCATTCACGTTCGACTTGGAGAAATAATTCTCTGCATTGCACTGGCAAGATCTATGATAGTCAATCTCCTCGGCCATCCCTCATCTTCAGATCTAAAGAAGGCTGCAAAGCAGCTGGATCTGTTGTACCAGTTTTCCGGCCAGTGTCGCATTGAAATCCAATGAGAAAATCGATTCTTCTGGCCTGTGATCGTTTCTGTACAGTGTACAATATCAAGCAATCCATTCCATTTTGAGAATTATTATTTGCTGACCTGGAAAGTCCGAACTGCTCCTTTATGCTCAATTCATTCAGTGGCGTCTATTCTTCACTTCTATGAACTGCCCCCTCTTTTCCCTCGCCCCTCTCGCCCCTGTCCTGTCAAAAATATCCTCAAATGCCAGACCTTCATCGTATTCCATTTCGACACACTCGATACATTAACATCCGAAAGGTACGCTGAGAGATATATTTTTGGTTTCTATACGAAGTGTGCAAACTTAAACGTCTCTAAATTCTCAATTTAGAGATTGTACTCTCGCGCGAGGTTGTCGGGTGCGATTGTACCTGAGCCGGTCGTGGGAGCACAAGCATCTTACATTACAACATGTATACTCGTTTTGCGCTGCCGATTGAAGGTGCCGAATATCAACTTTCTTTCATTGAGACTTGAGGCTGAGATAGAGTCCTTGCAGTTCGTCTTGTGTGAGAGTGTAGGGTTGATCAGTTGACGTGAGATTATCCCCGCTTTTCTTTCTGTCCAATGGCGTGTTCCCAGAGGGCGATGTAGACCCCTCTATTCATTACGGTTTGTCGATCAAAAGCGCAGCAGCGGGAAGATCAACAATCGGTTAAATTATAACAATCAAATGATACATGTGTATCCAAATTAAAGTCACTTTCAAGAACAGATAGTCAATATATTTGCTAAGAATACCAATGATCTTACAAGTTTCACAGTCTCCCCCTCTCACTAATCCTTCTGCAATACATAACGTCGCGTTATGCCACGATTACCAGCATCCAGTCGGCGCTAGATGTCCCGGTGGCGTCCTCTTCTCGCCTTCTCGCGCAGAGAAACTCAGAATGCCAGAATGTGTAGAATTCGGGGCCTGAGAAGTGGAGTAGTTAAATGCGGACCAAATGTTGCTTCGCGTGCGAGTGAAGCTCCCTTTTTGGCTACGGGGACGAAAGAGCATAACGGGACCGGACCTGGAAGATAAAAGAATCCTCGACGCTGTCGTGCGTCGTGCGATAAAGTCGGGTGATCTGCGTAACCGGGGCTCATTGCGATTACGAGTTAGAAATCAGAGGATTTTGCTGTGAGCATACAGTTAATGAATGGTGTGTGGGCCAAAGGACTGCGGAGTTGCCGTCTGGCATGACGAGTGGTAACCTCAATAGGTCCATCCATGTTCATGTCGATCACTTTAATTGCAGGAGATCAAGGCACACTACTCCTCTCTAAGCATGAATGTTCAGCCGATTCGCTCTCATATAACGAGTTCATGACCTCACTTTATTTGTCATAAAAGAAGTCTGGAGCACCTAGTCCGGGACCGCCGAGGACGAATAAGCCAACCGGACGTGGCGAGAAGTAGCAGTTCTTCTTCAGTCTCTATCACTCGGTAGTTTCACGAACGCAAGGCTTCTACCAATCCATGAAAACTCTCTCCGCCCGTACAATCTACCTTCTCATTTCTAATCACCGCGACACCAAACTGCTGTAAAAGAAGACAAACTGTATGTACGTGCCTGACCCAGGTCCACAGTCCTACTCCCAGAGCACAAGAGAGTTCTAGCCTAGATTACTGGGTCCCGCAAACCAGACTACGCTCGTTGACGACGAACGTGGAAACCGACTAAGAAGACAACACGACGGGCCGGCCCCGCCAGGCACGCGATAGGCTTTCTCTACATTGACTGCGATCGTCCTTACCTCCGGAGACTTCTGTGGCGCACTGGTCATCCGCGTGATAAAGTACATACGCACGCAGGGCGCATTACCATGGATCTGGGGCGCGTGCGCGGATGTGAGAGTAAGTAGAATGTGCTGTCATTATTGTGAACATTGCCGCATAAATTGTTCTCGCGATCTTCGGAGTGAGACACGATAGCATATGATTTATTGCCGCTCAATGACATGGTATTTAGTGTATTGACATCAGAAGAAAGCAGAGAAATTTTGTACTTCCACGATCTCTGAACGACAATAAGCTGACCAAAGCCAGCGAGCGGATCTTTAATTTGTATTAATCCCGGCCACACCGTGAAGGTGATGAGAGTTAAAGGTTCTTCGCAAGCGGAGAAATTTGTGGCAGACCGGGATAGTACGTTGACGGAATAGTCCTATATCAAGGGATTATTAGTGAGGTAGCATGCAACGAACCTCACAAAATGCTCACGGAATTGGAATCGACGAATCCGTGGCAAATCCTTCGGACAAGTCTCCAGACAAGGTGGGTGGGGACGTGAAACCCGCTGGCTCCGACACCGTCGTTGTTATAACATCGTAGTTGTCAACAGTGCCGGATTTGAGACACGATCCGGTGCCAAATGCACTCTGGCACTTGTCGACGGCTTCATCTGTATTAGACCACAATGCAACGTCTTCGAGCGTCATATCATAGCATGGTACAGAGTTGGAACAGATGAACTGGATTGGTGGGCGTTCTACCCCGTCAACGACTGCGCCGTCCCAAGTCTATGAACTAGTGCTCCGCGCG